TCTCCATCTGGCAATCTGATGGACGGGTCTGGGTTTGGCGGTTGCCAGGAGAACGGTACTTGTCTGACTGCATTGTGCCAAGTGTAAAGTTTGGTGGAGGGGGGATTATGGTGTGGGGTTGTTTTTCAGGAGCTGGGCTTGGCCCCTTAGTTCCAGTGAAAGGAACTCTGAATGCTTCAGCATCCCAAGACATTTTGGACAATTCCATGCTCCCAACTTTGTGGGAACAGTTTGGAGCTGGCCCCTTCCTCTTCCAACATGACTGTGCACCAGTGCACAAAGCAAGGTCCATAAAGACATGGATGACAGAGTCTGGTGTGGATGAACTTGACTGGCCTGCACAGAGTCCTGACCTCAACCCGATAGAACACCTTTGGGATGAATTAGAGCGGAGACTGAGAGCCAGGCCTTCTCGTCCAACATCAGTGTGCGACCTCACAAATGCGCTTCTGGAAGAATGGTCAAAAATTCCCATAAACACACTCCTAAACCTTGTGGACAGCCTTCCCAGAAGAGTTGAAGCTGTTCTAGCTGCAAAGGGTGGACCGACGTCATATTGAACCCTATGGATTAGGAACGGGATGTCACTTAAGCTCATATGTGAGTCAAGGCAGGTGAGCAAATACTTTTGGCAATATAGTGTATATATATATATTAGGGATGGAACGATTTATGAAAACCGTCCGAAACGTTCGGTTCGACTGTCTCGGTTCGATTCGCGTGTGTTTCGTTCGGTTCATGCGCTGCTCCTTTTTCTCATAGGCGAAGTGTTTACACTCCAGAGCAGAAGGTGGCGGTACTGCGACCAAAGCCAACCACCAGTAGTAAACAAGAAGAAGAAGCGAAGCAGTGTAGCCGGGTGTAGCAGAAAAAAATCTGTTGTTGTGGAGTTTTGTGTGGGTATGGCAAGTGGGAAAGAACAGGAGTTGGAAGACGCACCAGCAGCACTTTATAGGTCTGCTGTATGGGAGCGCTTTGCATTTAGAGTGACCTACGATGACGGCGGAAAGAAAGTTGTGGATAAAAGTGCAACAGCGTGCAAGCATTGTGCAACACGTTTTGTTTATGCTAATAGCAAAACGACAGACATGTCAGGCTAACAATCAACATATACTGAACCGAACCGAAAACTGTGACCACGAAACCGTGAACCGAACCAAATCGTGGATTTTGTGAACCGTTCCACCCCTAATATATGAGAGTCATGGGTACTTGTTGATTCCATTAAAATTATTTCTAAGAGCATCTAAAAAGCATTAAATAAGAGTTACTCATTCCTGTGTAAACCCTGTGCATCATTATCATCATTACTAGGAGTGGCCTAGTCAAAGTCTAGACTAAAAACAGTCATCACTTTCCTCTTGATGACCCAGTTTTGGATAGATTTAGTGGTTGTTACATAGATAACCTCACATTTGATGCCATATCACCTTGGTAAGGGCCCTGTCACACCTCGACGATTTAGACCAACGTCTGCCTGGTGTACGTAAAATCTGTCAAAAAAATACGTTTTGTAGAAGTTATGAACACGCTGATAAATGCTTGCCCTCATAGGTGGGGCCATAAGTTACAGGTAAGTTATCTGATCGTTGGCATACGTTAAGTGTAAGTTACTCATAAGTCGTGATGTCCAGCTTATCTAAAACTTGTGCATAACTAATGCGTAACTTATCCAGAACTTCTCTCCAAAGCATATCAACGTATCTGACGTGTTCCAGACGACCCCTGGACGTGTTTCTAACATTGGCAGCGTTTTGGTATAAAGGGGTTCACAGGAGGGAACTGTCAGTTCTCCTCCAGACTTCATCCTCATCATAGGGTGAGCAAGAAGGTCAGTGTGACGGATCCTCTCTGCGTTCACGCCCACCAACAAACTTCCTACAAAACATGACACTGAATCTGCTGTGACTACAAACCTTTCTTTCTTTAGACTTGCTAGGTTGATAACTGCCATCGAAGAAATCTTTTTACGCAGGCCGGGTGTGTCCGGGCGCATCACTGCCCTCTCTGGACACTGGCTTGTGCATCATTTCATGGGCATTACGCTGTTGTCCATTATGCATAATTTATGCTGCCGTTGGACATAAGTTCTCACTTCCTTATGAATGCTGTATGTATTTGCCCAAAATTTTAAAAATACATCGAAAGTTTTAGGAGATTCTGAGACGCCGGCATACGCTGGCTAAATCTTGAAGGTGTGACAGGGCCATAATGAAAGGAGTTAATGATTCACATTATGAATGCAGAGTGCCCAGATAATGTCCAACCCCCCCCCACACACACAAACAACATTGATATGCTGTGCATTGTTAAAATCTGGATTCTTTTATGGAGATAATCTGTCAACACACCGTTGAAATGAAAATGCGTCAACAGGCAGCCAGCGTTCCTTCCATAAGGTTGTTTTTTATGTTGTAAAGCCTTTGAATATACTTTCACTCTCCACAGCAGCAACTACTAAAACTTTAGTTTATATAGAGGTGCCTAACTGGCTGATTATCAAATCAAGCACATTGGATTAGCAATAACAGGCTGCTCCTTTTCCTGCTGGCTTCATCTTTGGTTAATGAATAATTGACAGCGTCTAATCTGCAATGTTTTAAATAATTTTACAACCCCCTTAAAACTGAATCGTTACCTTGCCCTGATGTGTTAAAACCTTGATTTGTTAGAGAGTGTTCTTTCTTTTTGATGTACAGGAAATATGTCACGGTTTGTACTTTTGATTAGATTTTTTTGCCAAACATGAGAATTAAAAGTTATCCATGTTTTATTATTTTTTTGTCTTTTTGCACAGCATGTGGTTTTCTATCAGTGAACTGCTGAGCTTAACCAATTAGCTAATCAAGAGAGAAATTATGAAAAACACTTTGATAATCAACCGCCTTAAAGGCTTTGCATATGAAAAGGTGCTAGTTTTCAATTAGTTTTCAATCAGAATCAGCCTGGCAGGGGTCAGAAAATACTTTATGATACGACTTTCAGGATCATTTTGTTGTTTAAAACTGACTAACTGGCATTTTTAAGTGTTGTCCAGTGGTTAACAAAAAAAAAAAGTTGATAACATGGACTAAAAAATAGACATTTGATATTTTGAGCATTTTATGTGACAAATTGAAAGGTTAGAACTATGGAAACAATTAGCGTTGATAGTCTGAGAGGTTGGTAGTAAACAAAAGGAGAATTAAAATGGAGGATTAAACTTTGTTTACCAGCTGCGATGTATTTTTTTAAGTAGTACTATACTAATATGAAAGAAAGGTTTAAAGTATTTTTATATATTTAATATAAAAAATAGCTCATTAAATGTAAAGATACAGATTTTTATAGTTTTCCTTGAAGCTAAGAAACAGTGGGCGTCTTGAAAAAACTCAATTTGTTTGAATTTATATTGGTGTTAAATTTGGATCTTTGATTTGTTTCTGTTATGTAGCTGCTGCTCTTTATTAAATTAAAATCCATGTGATGCATTAATCTATAGCCAAACACACTGATATTACAGTTCACTATGCTCACTTTGTTATTGCGTATTGTAGAGTAGTTCATTGTCACTACAGCAGAAATGTGAAATAATTTTCAGTGTTTACCGATTTATCTGAGTTAGCCATCATTTAAGGTACTCATTATTTAGAAACAAGAGATTTTTGAGAAGAAAAGCTTCAGCTATAGCTACTAATCTAACAGCCGTTCATGCTAACAGCTGGAAGAAGAAATTAAAAAATGGCTGTTCTGCCTGCTAGATGTTTAAACTGATGGTTACTCAGATCTGTTACTAAGACAAAGTAAACAACATTTTGATTTAGACTGTGAGAACAAGTAATTTGTAATCATTTTTGAGTATTTCTGGCTTAATATTCAAAGAAAGCCCATAGAACTGCTGTCTACTGCCATTAAGATATTGACTACTTCTGGCTACTCTTCATAACCCAAACTGACTAATTATATTCTTTTACCGAAACAAGAGAAAAGCTATCTTGCTCTGACATGTTTGTTTCTCTTCGTTTTTTGACAAAAGAAGTAGGATGAAGTAGTCTTCCAACTTTCTTTGCTTCCTGCTTTTTACTTCAATATTTTGTTTGCCTCATTTTTAATGTGGCTGTTTTGCAAAAAAACGACTGAAAAAGAAAAAGTCACATTTTTCATTGTTACAAATGCAAAATTACTCTGCAGAAAACTATAATTAACACATTAATCAAGAGTCCCGATAACTGGCAGGTGCAGCCCTTCTGAGATATGCTGTGAGCCAGTGAAGAAAAAAAACAAAGTGTCAAGCGTTAAAAGTTAGAGAGTAAACTTTGATCCTATAGTCCCTGCTTGAATCTTCTTCATCCTCCGCATCCTCATCATCTTCAGTCTGGGAGCTGGTAGCTATAGATGGATATGTGCTGCTGAATATACCTCCCTGCTCGCATGGCGTTCCCCCTGCAGCCAATGTTCCCTGCCAGTCTGGCCCGACTCCAGCCCACATCTGCATTGCTAATCTATAATTCTGTTTAATTAATGACCATTACAGCAGTTACTGCAAACCCACCCCGTCGCCCTCACTCACTCTCTCCCTCTCTTCATGGCCTTTCTAACGCCGTGCGGAGAGTTACAGTACTTCCTTTATAGAATCACAGTAAAGTCTTGAGCATTTTTCTGGAAATGATGTTGAAAGATGGTTCCTAAACCTCTGCACAGAGCCTCTGCTTTTGCTGACAGGCTCTCCTGCAGGTGTTATTTTTTTCCCGCTAAACACTGTTCTTTTGTACTTCAGCGCCTGAATTGCATTCAGATCCTCAGAGTTGTCACATTGCCTGTCAGTGAAGCTGTTCCCAGCGGCTGCACATGAAACGCACATCAACCAACTCCAGCGTTTCTGTTAGGAGCCTTAAAGCCTCGTAGATCAGCGGCAAAGATGCCTTTCAAGCCCTGTAAATGTGTATCCAGATGACCTCACATGTTCTCCCTGTTTAATCCCTTTTCTAACCTTCTGTTCTCCTGTCTGTGCTTTTATCCAGAGGCCACAACCAGAGGATGGAGTTCCTCGGAGACTCCATCATGCAGCTGGTAGCCACAGAATATCTCTTCATCCACTTCCCTGACCACCATGAAGGACACTTAACTGTAAGATAAATCACTCAAATCAAATGTCATCACCCACACTCCTTACAAGGCTTTCTTTTCATTTTCCCACCCACAGACATCTCTGCTGCGTCTTTCTGCCTCTTTCTTTTTACATACTTTTACTACAAGTTTAATCTTAGTTTTTTGTCTGTTTTAATGCAATATTTTCTTTTTTTATACTGAATAAGGTGTCAGACATATTTGTTCTGACCTCTATCTTTTGTTGCTCAGAAAATCTTCGGCTCTCCTTCACCTCACACGATGTGTTTACTGTACTCTGTGTGTGATGGGTATTGTCAGGAGACCAAATTGTTCAGAGCTGTTCAATAACAAACATCTTTGTCTGCTCCTCCGTCTGTCAGACTCTGTCAGGTTCCTAAACTAAAAAAAAAGTATCCAGATGAAATATTCAACCTGAAGAGGTCCAAGACCCAAGTTAACCCGAGAAACATCCTGAGCGGATGCATATTTACAAGGGATGTCATGATATACAAAGATCAGGGGCCTCTAGAGAGGGAGGGAGGGACCAACAATAAAACCGCTTGCAAATGGTCAATATTAACCTTTTTTTTACCTATTTTCTTTTTTTTAGACCATGCAGAGATTTCAGACTATTACACCAGATGTTCTTAAAAGCTTTCCCTGTTGGGATATTTCTTATTAGGGATGGGAATCAATGGGAATCCGTGTGTTCCAATACCATGGCACCGTTTGGCAGCTCACTTAACGATTCTTTTATCGATTTTAGGCAGCACCAGAGCCTAGCGTTGGGCAGCATGACTTACTTCACGTTTTTTTACGCGAGTTACGCACACGGCATTCAGTAAGATAGTAAAAAGAAAAGAAAAGCAAAACAAAAGTGGTCAAAGCGAAGGTTTGGCTTCATTGTAAGGAAGAGAAAGGTGGCAACAAGGCCTTCCGCTTCTTCTATCTGTTGGATGACATGGTAAAACTTCAGGGGTGGAGCTTGTTACCTGCCACGCCAATTGTTGATATCTTAGACGAGCGACAGTAAACAAATGCGGCCACTTTGTCACTGGAATTGCGTCTGGTGTGAAGGCATCATTAGAACACCTTTGGCACTAATTGGAGCAAATCTTCACATCCAACCATAAAATATCCTTAGGCCCCGTCCACACGAAGCCGAACCCTGGCCTAAACGCACAAATTTTTCACCAAACCAGCCTCTCATCCATACGAAGCCGGCGTTTCGGGGCTCTGTAAACGATCTTTTTTTTATTCAGCCTTCAGAGTGGGAAGATTCTGAAACGCCGTTTTCGCGTTTCCATCTTTAAGCTCTAACCGCATTTTTTTTTTTAAATGCATGGGTCATAGCGTCGCCTCTAAACACGCTTGCGCGACACAGTATCACAACAACAATGGCACCGTACTGTGTTGAATGGTTGCTGCTCATGCTACTCACCCTGCTGTCGGGCTTACAACAGAATCTTCTTCTGGAATATCTCCAGGAAGAACAGAGCAATATCAACGACATAGTTCAGCACCTGAATTTGACTGAACCACGAAAATGGACCCGCAGGGCAACCATGTATAAATATTACTACGCATGCCCAACATTTCGTCGCCTATTTTTGCTTTGGCACCACAGCGCCACTTACAGGCCTGGCATACATTTTGCAGCGTTTTCATGCATTCGTGTGGACGATCACATTTATTTTACGTCTCCGTCTTTACGACAAACGTTCTGGAAAATATTAGCGTTTCGTGTTCGTTTTGATTTCGTGTGGACGGGGCCTTAATCATAGAAGATGTTTACAGACAGTTTTTATGGCTGGAAAGTTTTGTTTTTGGTGTCACTTTTTAAAGTTGCCCTAAAAAAAAGCAGTCAGTTGGTTCTGCTCAAACATTCTGCCTGTGTTTAGATGTAAAACTGAGCTAATATTTTAAGTATGAATAACCCTGATATTTACTGACTGGACCAATTAACTAGAGCTCATTGCGGTCTGATATTAGATCATGACGGTGTAGCCTTAGCCAAAATAGATAGATACACCGCAGTAGATTGGAATAGTTCATTTATTTTAGTTGTTTGTATCCAAAAGTAACACCAAGCATTATTAACTCTACTGATTGTTCTTTTTTTTATTTTATTTTTTATAACTTTCAAGTCATAACATTCAGTTTCTGAGAAAATGTCAACATTATATCTTTATGATTTACCTTTTAACTGTATCTCATTATGCTCTACTTTAGTTAAGTTTGCCACTTAAATACGAGCGTTTCTTCATGCATATGTGTAAACAAAAGGTCTTTTATAGAGCACATTAAATGTGGAAATACCTTATTTTAAACTTTAGATGTGATAATATAGCTTAATGAAACACATGCAGAATAGAGCTGTGAATATAGATTAATTCCTTATTAAATTATGGTTTTCTTTTATTTAAAATCTACCAGATATGTATTGTGCTTTTTGCTATTGCTGAATGGTTTTGTTTTTCTCCTCTGTTGGCATATTTAGAGGAGCAAATATACAGTGGTGTCTTTCAATTTAAATGCTTGGTTGATTTCCTGATTCCTGTCTTTTGATTATAAATGGCTTTGTTTGAATACATTTGATTAGTGTTGCAGATTTTCTGTCCAGGACCCCCTTGCAAATGAGATCAGGATCGTTTTGTGGTTTTACCTGGTTAAATAAAGAGATATAAAGGAGCAGATAGACTCTACACAAATAGTCATGTTTGGGTAGATTCTCTCATTTTGTTTAAAAACACACAAAGCAAAGTCAATTTTGCAACACTCAAGCCATGTTATTTCAAAATTGCATTAATTCACCTTATGTGTATAGCACTAACTTACAATATGTAATCTCAAGTCATTTTACAGAGACAATTAAAACACATCAGACATTGATTGATGAAAAGTTTTCTATTTAAAGAAACCAAGCTGATTGTAACTAGTCATTAACTTTGCACCATTTGCTCATTAGACCTTTATTTGTGCTGTGACGCTGACTGCAGCAATCTCTCACATTAAGCACGGAAGCATCAACAGTGGAGAGAAAAAACTCACTTTTAACAGGAAGAAACCTCCAGCAGTGCTTCCTTTCACCTTCCTGTTATTTTCCATCTAGCTTATTAGCCTTCTTAATGATCCACCTCTACCATAGAAAGCAGTTTTCTTTTAGATTGCTTTAAACATCACTGTTTTCCTTCCAACTTTATGTTCTTTAAACCCAACTAAAAACAACCATCTTGGAGTCGTCTTTACTGAGCTTCCATATCCATATGTTTGGTGTTCAGTGAAAAATGGATGCCCCAGTGCATTAGGATCTGATTTTTGTCTTTCTAACCAGCCGGTCGTCTGTCAGGGTCGACCTAGAAAGTTACAATCAACCGAGGACAATTTTTCCGACCACCTCTACACCTCATACATCTGCTTTAGCTTAAAACACAGAAAAATCTTTAATGGACGGTAGACCAGATAACACTGGAAGAATCTGTATTTTGTGGCTGTACAGATGTATTACTCATGAAAAATGAATGGTTCGGATGAACCATTTAAACCTTGGTTTAAAAACTACTCTTGGCAGCTTGTGCGAAGCGGCTGCTTCGATGATTGTTTTCCACCGTGGCCCTTTCCTCTCATAGGGCGGTGCTTTGCACAAAGGTTTCGGCTACGGTTCGTTTCTTGCTCTACGTCTGTCGCAGCAAACCCAAAACGGTTCCAAACAATGGATCATTTTATTCCTTTTTTCAAGACTATATTCCCACTCTCACCGGTAGCCATGATGTTGTTTGCCGAAATGCACCGTGGGAGTAATACTCCAACTACGGAAGCTCTGGGATCCAAATTACAGCGTCATACAAAAAAATTATATATTTTTTTGTCTTTTTATTGCCCGCAACAAAAAAATTTGAATTAATTAATTGAATAAATTTTTAGTCCAGAGCTACCTAGAGCAGACATAGATTATGATGCAGATGCATCATTCATGCTGTTGGCTGCAGTAAGCAATCAATAGGCTGAATTCAGGAACTTTAGCTGTAAAGCTGAGGTTGCTTATTTACATCACAACTATTGTGGCAAGGATAATCTAGATTACATTATGAAAAGTTGAATCTCAACTCAGGTGCTTTTTAAAAGCCATGTATGCTTCGTTTACTGCACTCACTATTCAGTTGTACCGATTAAATTCAGACGGTGCCTATAAAAGTACAGAATTCTGCAAAAACACCTGATGGTGAGGATGCCAAGAGGTAACTCTAAGGAATTCTACAGCTTTAGAGGTAAATGGCAGTAAGATGTTCCTGGGTTGCAGCAAACATCTTAAGGGCAGATTAGACTTCTGCAACCGCACACATCAAATGTTGCTTGGGTCACAAACCAGTTTTACTGGTATGCTTCTGCACTGTCGGTCTGGAATTTCTAGGGACGCACAGCAGTTTCCTGCCAAAGCGGTTGGGGGAGTGTTTATCTTTCAAAACAACAATGGCGTATCTGCAAGATATCACGGTCACAGAGATGGATCTAGAGTCGTTAGACATTGAAGAGGATATATTTGTTTATATAATTTGTCTGAGGCATCTTACAAGTGTTTGTACTTCCGAACCTCCTCGATTAACCTTTCGTTGCAGTTGTCCATTGTTACTCGGTTTTTAAAAATGCCGCGCCCTGGCACCGAATCGAGAATGACGACCATACAGACAGCCGGAAAGGCATACCAAGGACTAATCACAGCTGTTTTTTGTCTGCGCCCTTCCTCTTGAAATCTGTGCAGGTTTGTGACCGTCCAACGCATAGTCATAGATTTGACAGCTGCAAGGGCTGTGTCAGAAGCATGAATTGGCCTTGGTCATATGCAGAGATGGCAAAAATACTCACTTTCCGTACTTGAGTAAAAGTACAGATACTTGTGTTAAAAAATACTCTGGTAAAAGTGGAAGTACTGATTAAACTTCTTTACTCAAGTAAAAGTAACAAAGTACAGGCTTGTAAATTTACTTAAAGTATAAAAGTAAAAGTAGAAACCACTTTTTTCATGCCGTTGCCTACATTTTAAATGGATGTCTGCCAATAGGACTAGATCTCCGTTGTGTTCATTTTCAATCATCTCGTCGTCCATACTACTATGCTAACGCCACCGCCACCTTGTAGTGGTGCGTCAAATGCAACGTAGATTCCCATCCAATTAGACTGAATTTGGTATTTGTGAGAAAACGGCTCGCCAGCTCCCGTTTCACGTCAGAGGAGGAGTAAGCAGATGACTTGCAAAAAGGTGGTAAGAACCAGCAGACAACAAAATTCCAGTTCAAAAGCGTGTAGCGGTTTATTTACTGGTGCAACGGTGAAGACAAAAAAAAAACAAAAAAACAAAAAAAATACTTTCCAATAAAGAAAACAAAACCGGCCATTGCAGGCAATACAAAACACTGACAGCCTCACAGCAAGCTGACTTTAAATATAGTCTCTCTAAGCAGACCTTCAAAAGCAGTTTCTCCAACCAGTCTCTCCAAGCAGCCCCCCTAAGCCATTGGGAGTGTGCCCCTTAAATAGACCCACCAATAATCAGCCAATTGGGACAGCCCAACTAAACAGGAAGGCAAATCGCCAATAAAGCACAGTTAACATTGTAGAAAAATAAATACAGACAATAGCATCATTCATACAAAAACATACATATTTATGAAATAATTTAACCATACCAACATTACCATTTCACCTACTTATTACCATGCCAACAATTATTACATACATTGAAATCCCACTTAACACCGCTGCCCCCTAATAGTCTTTTCCAATGCCCTGGGAGAATGGATAAGAGACTGGCTCCGATGCGGTACGTGTTTCCACACGGACCAGTATGCTGACGGACTAAGGGAAGAGAATGTGTAATTTGACTGGTAAGTTTTATTGCCGACTACGGAATGTATATTAAAGCTGTCGCAGTGGGTACCTTCAGAGTTTGCTACGCTGGTGAGTAAGTAAAGTGTTGAATGAAAGGTGACGTTGTAATTTCGGAACTAGTGTAAATTACCGGGTGAATTGTTTGGAACTGCCGCCGCCATGACGGCCGGTCTGTGGTGCATGCTGGGAAATGTAGTGAAGGATGTGACGCTGTGTGTGATAGACGGCGGCTACACTTTGGGAACAGAGGGGGAAAACTGCTCCGTATTCACAGTATTGATGACGTGAAAAATAATAACGGTAACTCCATTGAAATTATTCAAAACTAAAGTAACGAGACAATTTTTTAAAATGTAAGGAGTAGAAAGTACAGATATTTGTGTAAAAATGTGAGGAGTAGAAGTAAAAAGTCGCCATAAAAATAAGTAGTAAAGTAAAGTAAAAATATCAGAAAAATCTACTTGAGTACAGTAACAAAGTATTTGTACTTCGTTACTTTCCATCTCTGGTCATATGAGATTGGAGAATAGTACTTATTTTTGGCCAAGATGGAAGGTGCTGTTGCAGAAAAGATGCATCAGCCATTCAACATGGTAAAGCATGTAGGTAGGAGCATCATGCTGTGGGAAATCTTCTTTTCCTGAACAGATATGGATAAAGATAATAAACGGAGTCAAATACGCGACAAGAAAAGCTGTTGCAGATTGAAAAAGATTTATGGCTGAGCCAGTGTTAACCTTCCTGATGAGTAGCCATCTTTTCTTTAAATTTCTGTAGCCGTCCAGTTCAATCGCTATTTACAGGGAGCTGGATAATGTGTGAAGTATGAGAAAATTAATAATTAATGACGTTGAACTCCAGTCAGGTTTGAGTTCCTCGAGACTTTCTGTTTATAACAGACACTGACATATCCACCAATCCCTGAATATTCTGATATTTTTTATTTGATTTAAAGTCAAAGTTATATAAAAGCTTTCAGCAAGCTTTCATGGAGGCTGAAAGCTAAGAGCAAAACCCAGGAGTCAGTGTGGGGTACATCTGAAATGGATTCAAACCCTGATAAAAAGTGCCCATTCAACTAGTGTTGGTGTCCTTTTTTGCCTCTTCAGTTGACGTTGCGTGCTTTTCTCTAAGGAAAATAAAAAGTAAGATAAAAATGAGGGCATATCACAGCAAGACCGACTGAGACAAGTTTTGTTTCCTTCCATTTGCTCTCCTCTGCATCTGCTGGCTATATTTACCATGTTTTTGTGTTTCTTTTAGGGACTTAAATGCACCCTAACAAGTCGAACATGTTGTCATCCGCTCCGCTCCAAGTCACGATGTAATATTTAACAGACTGAAACATTTTCTCTGCATGAATTATTCCACGTTCCACTCCATTTTCATGTTTGGCTTTTTATTGCCTTTTTTATTTTTTTTTATTTTGCAGTGAGTGATGTTCAGCTTGCCGCTCCGATGCAACAAGAGAAACTGTTTGTCTGTTTTCCCTGCAGCTTCTCCGGAGCTCGTTGGTGAACAACCGAACCCAGGCTAAGGTGGCGGAAGAGCTGGGCATGCAGGAGTATGCCATCACCAACGACAAAACCAAGCGGCCCGTAGCGCTGCGCACAAAGACTCTGGCCGACCTGTTGGAGTGTACGTTTCTTTATATTACTCATCACTGCAGTGTTATATTACATTTCTGTATGTGCTTTAAAGGTACATTTCCTTCTTCATGTGTTTGGCTGAAACGCAAAAGGACTTATAAGTTTAAACCTCTGTATCAAACTGTTATTAAGTGGTTTTTCTGCACCCTTAAATACATTTTAAATTAAGTGGAATCACATAAAAGAAAAAAACCCACAGTTTGGACTCATGACCTTCAGTTTGAGAACCCCTCTCTTCAGTCTGAGCGTGTTTTATGGCCTCTTTCACAACGAGGAGACCTATACTTATTGTCCATTAGTCATAAACAATGTTCCTGAATAAACTATATATAAAGGCAAGAACTAGACCAGGATTCTGCAACCTTTATAGTTTAGAGAGCCACTTTGGCCTTCAGTCAAGTAAATAAAATCCACTTACAGGAAGAGGATGAATACATTCTCTATATTGGATGCTAGTGTTAAAATGTGGAAACATGACTGGTGCTTTTAGTCTCATTTTGTTGTGGAAATATATTAAAATTATTTCATGAGAAAAAATGTAAAAGTGCTAAAATCTGCTGTAGTTATCATATCTGTAGCTGTAAACTGTATTTCTCGCAGCTAAAGCTATGAAGAGTCAGCCAGGAAGATCCAAAGAGCCACTAGTGGCCCCGGGGCCACAGGTTGCAGACCCCTGAGCAGAAATAACCTTAATACAGACAAAACAAGTTTCCAAATTCTGTTAAGTAAGAGAAGTCATAAAGTTAAACACCCTCACAGTGATTGACCTGGATTTGGAGCAGAGTCCCTTAGAGCTCTTTCTTCCTGTTCCTCCTCTAACTGAAACGTTGGATTATTTTTTGTGTGATTCTTTCAGCTTAGATAAGCAAGAAAAATTATTCTTAAAATCAGTTTTTATCCTTTGTTTTATATTCCTAAAGGAGAAGCTGCAGCTACAAATCTTGTAAAACTTATTCATGTCTTCATCTCCTCCATAGACTGCTGCTATGTCTTTATACAGGCTCCTCCAAAGTTCTGCAGTATGTTGGTTAAAAGGTACCAGAAGGCACATTTATATCCTCCCAGTTGTAGTTATTTTATACTGGCTGCCTACCCATTTAGAAACTGATTTAAACATTTCAGTTTCTTACATTTAAAGTTTTAAATGGTTTAGAAACCATTTATTTAAACTAATCGAGTCATTTTTCCCATTTGATTCAGGTTCGGTTTGAGTCCCAGCCGGTCTTTAATGTTTTCTTATGATTTTGTTATTGCTTTTTTTAATGTGTCACTTTATTTTCTCTGTGTTCTGTATTTAAATATGCAACATTAACAAACTGGACATTGACATTTTAAAAACAGTAATCAACTTTTAAAACATGACCATGCCGGCTCCACCCTACTACTGTGAAGCTCTTTAATTGGCTGAGTATTAATTACATCAACTCATCCTTACAGGTTTGTTGTTGTTCAGCCACATTGGAAGGATTTTAGGTGGGAACGGTATATTTCAGGTCATGTTAAAGCATCTTGACTCTTGACTAGGTCACAGCAAGACTATAATGTTGTCTTTTTTGATCCGCAAACCGAAATGAGGTTTACTATAAGGCCATGAACTGATTGCGGACCATGGTTCCTGATCATGATTCCTCAGACCAGCACTCCACTGCCACTGTGTTTGATTGTCTGTCTCATGTCAAAAAGATGTTTGGATATAGATAAACTCAAAGCTCATTCGGTCTCCCTGGATTAGTTGTCCTTGTGCTGTTGGAGTAATTTTGGCTGGAAATGTTCATGGCGATTGCATCTATGGATATTTCCTGCAGTTCCAAAGCCTTAAGGCTGATTTATTCTTCGAAACCAGGTCGTCTGAATAGGTGTCGCGGTGAACGCAGAGACATCCACGCCCCCTCCGCAGACACTCTGCTGCACCTCTCCCAAATTGTAGGTGGCCGCAGACAGGAGTACTCTTACTGGTCAAGTTTACATCCGCTCTACACTAGGTGTCTCCTGTTTGTATGACCACCATTGTGGCAAACAACTCATGAAGTTGGACCAGCTAGAAGAGCGAGGTGCGCCAGAACGCTGGGACCCTTTCCCCACCTGTATCCTCGCTTGTTTTTGCCCTCATGTCCCTCCGTTGTGGGACAAACTTGCCCTCACTTCCTCACCGCATCGGCCGTATCTGGACCCACAGCTAGTTCGTTATTTTCCCCTTTTGCATTGTGGCGTGGAAGACCACGCTTGAACACTGAGCATTAATAAAAAATGTCTGCTTCAAGCTCACTGCGACACACTTCTGCAGGAGTATAACCAGCCCCTTAGAATGGTCTAAACATTTTCTAGACTAACAGATAGTAGTGAAATAGTTTTTCACGCGTGTCTTAAATTGTTTTCACATCAGGGCCTACTTCATGTTAACAGAGGGGTCCTAACCCAGGCTGTAAAAAACAAAGGCATGTTGATCATTTCTGTTGATGTATCATATTTAGTTTTGTATTCATTCGGTTTATATGTGTCTGACACCAAAAATATTTTGACCTTAAAAAGTGTGACAAAAGCAAAACCAAAAAACCACATTAAAGCAAAACTGTCACTTTTAGACACTAGGAGGCGCTACACCTGTCACTTCCAAATTTAGCGCCCTGAAGGCTTGTGGAGAGACTGCACCGATGCAAAAATCATTCAGTCTCCCTCCGTGTTTTGAATTCTGGCAGCAGACCTCCTTAGGTTTGAGAGATTGGGAAGTCTCTATGTATGTTTAATTAACGTTACACACATTTTAATTCAAGCAATTTCTTTTATACATTTCATTTTCTGTGTATGCAATTATTTCTACTCTCCTCTCACTCCTTAGGCACATAAATAACCATGATCTTTACCTATAAACCGTCCACTTCCAATACTGCATCAAAAAGCTTATGTTATTGGCTAACAAAATATGTTCATCAAAGTTTGATCGGTCACTGAGTTGTGGAGCCCAGCTGTGCACCTGGGGGGGGCATTTCCTATGTGCAGGATGTTTCGGACGTATTCTGGATGCTGAAAAAGGAACTTATGTTTGATTTTGGTAGTAAACAGATTGGTGAATAAGCCCACGTAACGTAGATAATCTGCAATGGCCGACATACGTCTGTAGAAACAGTTAAAAAGGGCTTATATCAGCTTTATTTTAACTTCTTCATTAGAAAATGCAAGCTTTGGTTGATTATTACAACGTGATTTTATTCAATGGAAAATAGAACTGGATAATACAATTTAGGGATACAATGAGCCCATTTATGACAGGATAGAGCATGTTTGGAATTGCAAAAGACGAAACCAAAGAAAGAAGAGAAAATTGAGTAGTAATTGGATGACAGTGGAGTATAGTTACAATTACGTAGATGGTCTTTATCTTTAGGATCACCTGATTCTAAAGTGTATTGCTGTTAGATGCGAAATAAAATGTGACGTCAAAAAGTCCTGTGGCCGGGCAGTGGGAGCTAAGGGAATAAGGGGAGCTCATACTGCCATAAAGCGTCTCAGGGATGGATCCCACCCTCTAAAGTTACATAGATTAGTTTTTTTTAAAGGGCAGCCCACATGAAGAATTGATACACCCTAAGTGCTCTATATTGATCTGAAAAATCATTTAAAATATCTCAAATTAACAAATACTTTGGTCATAAGTTATACATTGTTTCTTTAAAGGGGTAAATATTTTTCTGCAGTTCTGCACATAATATTGAGTGATTGCTTTCACCAATGAGCTGTAGATTTTAAACAGTACATTTGCCAAATGAAGCTGATTGAATCCTGGTTCATATACTACTTCAGATCCTCCCCCTCGTCACATTTTTTTTTTACAACAAACTCAAAACCCGAGTCCGGTCCAGTGAGTTCAGATACCTCCCAGGGGTAAAAGCATACAAGCAACAACATTAAGGGACATTACAGCTGGTCCTGCAGGCCGCGCTGGACCGCAGCTTCTGATAATCACAACTTTCTGGGATCATTAGGCGGCTGTATTATTTTTGATGGGAGTGCTGAGGTCAGCGCCGCGCTGCTGAATGTAAACTGAGCCGCCAACTGCCTCACAGACAGGTGATATTAATCAGTCACTTCTTCTGTTTGCTTGGAAGTTGATGCTAAATTCAGGGTCTTAATGTAAGATCCAAAAATCACTGGAATAACAAAAAGATAAGAGATAGATTGGAAGCTATTGACCTACTCTGTGATGAACATTGATTGCTAGAGAACAGGTTTAGTGCTCATGCAAACACCCCAAAACACATAACACTCAGTAGGTCTATAATAGATTGGTATAACTATAGTTGTCTATCCCCTCCATATTGAATTTTAACCGCAATAACTTTGTTTTTATCTCAATCTAATAATATTTTTTACCTAAATATTCTTAGAGCTTCAAAATAGATAGATCCTTTAAATGGGCCATTTTGAAGACATGAAGTAGGCTGAAAAAGATTTAAAAAAAGCAGCTCATTGTGTTCTCGTTTAAAATAATCCAGGATCAGTTGAGAACCAAAGTCATTGCCACCCATCTGCCTGGAAAAGCTTACACCAGAGAACCACAATGAGGGATATTACCCAGTAACAGAGAACACTTGAAACAGTGGTGAATCTTCCAGTGGCTACCAAAAATATCCCAGGGGCAAGTCACCAACTCATCCAGGATCTACTCGATACACCTTTGACATCATCTAAATCTCTGCAGAGTTTACCTACCTCAGTTAAGGTCAGAGGTCATGATTCAACAATAAGATGCAGAAGTTTGACAAAGATGGCCGCTGTGGAAGTGTTCAAAGCCCAGAACCCCTCCTCAACCAGAGGAGATCAAACATCCACATCTGCCCAAAAAAAAAAAAAAAACACCAACAACTAAACATCTTGGTGATCCCTTGGTTAACCAATAAGTAAAAAGAAGAACATTTTTGGAAGATGTGCGTCCCAAGAGACCTGATGTAAAAGTTGCTGACCATTTAAAGGAGAAGCGTCATCATATCAGTA